CGTGCTGTGCATCGTCTGTTGGCAGCGAAGGATTTGCCAGAAAACCTCCAGAATCATGGGGTGGATAAGGGTTGGACAAGGGACAATAAAGGGGAGTGGTAGAGGAGGGGGTGCAGACTAGGATGGTGTATGTATTGGAGCCACCCAAACAAAGAACGGGTCCTTCCCGCATGCGGAGATAGGAGGCGAAAAGAATCGCCATTTTCGAGGTAAGCGCCAAGAGCACCCCATGTTCAGCCCCTACCAAATAAGGCCTAGCTTACATTTCTTTTTCAACATCAATCGGAGAACCAATTCGAATCCGCCCACACGCGTTTTAATCGATTTGGCTAGTGCATACCCCTGGCCCCTGCCCTCGCTTTACGAGTGACCTCTCCACTGCAGATTATTTAACCCTCACACCTCCGCAGGGAGGATTGTACCTTCCCCAGCCAGTAGCAGACCGGTCGAAGAGTCTCAACGCGCTGGCATTTCCACCTATCAAGCACCTAGCACGGGCACCCAACCTCGAAACCTTTGCACCTACCGTCAAATTGTGTTTGGTCCCGACTTCAAAAGTGGGTGGCGTCCAAAAATTCCATCCATGAATGTCAGCTACCCCGCCGGTACATAAATTCTTCCTCCTTGGCTAGTTTTGGCCAGGACCCACCACATCCATCCGCTCCAGGTAGGTCACGCATCGGGGCAGATTCTGGCTGTTTGATTGTGTCTGCCCCCCCACCGTGTCATGGACCACGAGGATGAAAAGGGAACGCTCCGCGTAACGCGGCATTCGGCAGGACCACGACGACGGATACAAACCGACAGGTGCAGCATAGCCCTCATCGCTCTTCGCACACTGGAGCAAGGCAGCGATGCCCGAATTGTGTGGTCTTGGTCAACGTCCCCCGTTGATCGCCGTGGCTTTTGCGGGTGGTCGCAGCAAGGCCGCATCACGTGCGATGCTGGCCGTGCAGGAGTTGGGACGATGGTGGGGAGCGCAGAGGCTCCATTGGTGTCCAGGCGGGCTGTGGAGCTCGAACGTGGGGCGGTTCCTGTCGGATCAATAACCTTAGCAGCAGATGTTAGATTAGGCGGTGGAACAGCCCGAACCCAGCACCGCACGCACCTCGTGCTGGGTCGCATGGGATGGCAGGTCCTGGACCCATCAAAACCTTCCACGGAGCAAGAGCCAACTAGAACAACCCAATTTTTTTTTTTCAGAGGAAGAGCAACCAACAACCTAACTCAGGAGAGGGAAAAAAAAAAAAAAAAACCAAAACCAAAACACAAAACATTGCTGCCAACACCTGCCACAGCCCCCGCGGGGGTGCGACTCGCTAGTTGCAGAAACTCGGGCTACAGCAGCCGGGCTTCCCCCCACACCTTCGACGCCAGAGAAAGTTCATGGGGTGGGTATGAACACAACACAACCTGGTATGGCCCTGCCTACCTATGTTCCCAAACAACCGGCCGCGGACCAGCCAAGCTACCACCCAACCCGTCTGCGCAAGCGCAGCCGAGTTGGCTTGACTCCGCCTCGGCACTCATCCTCCCCTCGACCGCGTCTGTCTGCGTCTGTCTGCGCCTCTGCTTGCTGTCGGTCTTCACTTGCATCACGGCTACCCACAGCGACCCTAGTGGCATGATAATCTCGGGGATCCATCTCCGCCTCAGCCGTTGCTGCATCATGGCGCTTCTTCGGCTATTTGACGCCGCTTATCCACCTGAACCATCTCCATAGCCGACCACACCCGCCATAGCCGCGTCGCGGCCAAAAAAAACCAACACCACCTACCCTCCCTAGGCACCGCACTGGCGATCATCGGCGGGCCTGCACTGTCGTTGTGCGATGCAGTTGGCGGCCGAGCCCGTTGGCACGGGAATCCTTCTCCGACAACAGCTCGAGATCGGCCTTTCTCGGCACGCCAAGGGTTGTTGCCAGCTCAAACATGTCAGCAACCTCGACGAGGCGTCGTTCCGAACCGACACTGGCGTTTGCGCCACCGGCAGCTGACGGAGCCGAGGTAGTCACCATTGGAGCCGTGCCTGACACCAAGGCTTCATACCGGCTTCTGGAGACGTGAGGGCATCTGACCTCCGCAGTCTGCCTGCCGGAGGATGTGAGTTACAAGTTCCAAGTGGCTAGTGTAAGTTGCTAGGCTCAGCCCAATCAAGTGAAAATGGAGCCTAGCCAGCTGGGAGCTGAGGGCATATCTGCCATGGCTGGATGGTTCTCCGAGACACATAGGTGCACATGGGGATGGCAACCTTTGCCCCATCTGCTACTCAGACATGGGCGGGGGTCGAGGGACGAAGGGAAATGAGGTCTGCTTGAGCCCAGTGATGAAATATCCCTCATCTCGGCATTGCTAATCGGTTCATCCCCGCGGTGAGCTGGTCGATCTTCCCTATGTTACGGCCGGACCTAAAAAGACACGAAGCCGAGGCCGACTCGGGCGTGTGGCGGCTTGGAGCAGGGGCCGCGGCAAGTATGCCGTACTCAGCCGACATGCTCAACCACCTTCGCTTGCGTCGGGTGGATGCAACGATGGCGTGCATGCTCAAGGCTTTGCTGTGCTGCCGCACCAACCCACAGCCACTAGTGTGACGCTGCAAGCAGGAGGCATATGAAAGGGGCCTTGGTTCGAACCCAACCCATGATCATGCTTCGTTTGTGACGGGCCACAGCGGAGGGGTAGGTGCTCGCCGAGTCTTGGGCATCTGCCACCAGGAAAGGTGCTCATTTCGTCCTATGACCACCACGCACAGTTGCATTGGCCCGGACAGGGTGCTTCCCCCCATCAGAAGGACCTCGGGCCTGTTAGCTGGATCGACATGCCCAGCGGACTGCCCCATGCCTTGGTAAACCCCGCGGGCCAACATGCATCCCGAGAGCCATGTCGATGGGGTCGAGTGCCAGCCAGGCTCGATATCGACTTGATTGGAGTAGGGCGAACCGGGGACGAGCTTGGGGGCCTGTCAGGCGATTGGACAAGCGCGGGCTCGACACGACGTTCCCCTCCTCGACAAGACCCCGGTGGGCTGCGCGCGGTGTCCCAATGGCCTGATAGCCGCCGGCGGTATGTAGGGAAAAGGGGAGAGCTCCGGGAGTCACGACGATATCGCGGATGCCAACTCGACAAGACCTCACACGCAGCCGACCTAGGGCTGTCGTCCACTTAGACGGGCGCCAATGGGGTCGGGGGTGCATGGTGGGGACGAGCCGCGGTTGGAAAGGGGGTGCGCGCTGCGCTCTGATTGGCCGCCCTTAAGCCCCAAACCACGACAGGCGCGCAGCCGCAATCGCGCGGCAATTGGCGCTGACGCACCTTGTTTGGACGCGGCGACCCAATCTGTTGTGATTGTGGGTTGCATCAACTAGGTGCCGTCTCCAAACACCCAAAACCACATATTCCACCTTGGCACCGTCCCGCCCTGGCGGTTCCTATCACAACGTCGCGGCTGTTGGAAGCGCGCTTGCGACCACAACAAAACACAGCGAGGGAACCGGGGAAGGGAGTCCGCCCCCGTTGCCCAACTAGTTCGCAAACATGGCCCTGCGTAGCCATCACCCTACTACGGAATTGCGTTCCGGCGATGGTTTGCAGCCAGCTAGCACGAGTGAAGCCATGGCTTTGCCTAGCTCGCCGACCATTCTGATTCTACGCCCCTCAATTCGGCCTTTTCTCCCGTGCTGTACCCTCCCTGTTGTGTGCTTGTCAAGCACACACCTCGTTGGGCGAGCTTGTGGCCGATTCCCTTTCACATACACGCAATGGATAGGCATACACTCACACAAAAAGCCGTGCTCACTCGTGTTGGCCTCCTGTTACAGCAATGAGAAGCGCTGACTCAGGACCGCACACTCTTTGGAGCTAGACACGCATCTTTCCTGACGTACACACTACTCTCCCGCCCTGACATGCCACTTATGTCCTCACATCCCTCACTACGTCCTGTGCCCTGGTATCCCTCCGAAATTTATGCCGGCGAGGACTGATGAACGCATCATAGTCCAATCATGTGCACCCATGATCACAGGCTTGGCTAGGCACGGAGGCTTTTCGGGACCGTGTCGCAGATGTTTTCCATTATAAATTAATAGCCTATATGGGCAGGCTAACAATAAACTGAAGAGCAACCCACAGGCCCTGGACTTACCAGACCAGGGTTAAAACTGCGTCCGCTCTTGGCCTGGTCATAACGTACGTCCTGCACAAGGGGAGCGTGAGGATGCAAGACGCAGACATGCCAGTGGCGTGAGGCGAGCGCTTAGCCGAGGGCGTGCCCCTATACTAAGGCACAACGAGGGTTGATATTCACCTCCCTAATATGTGCTGCCACACCCTGCCTGCTCGTGCACCTGCATACGCAATAGTCACCTGCCTATTGCGAGTCAATGCAACGAGGAAGAAGAGAGGGAAAGAAAAGCCCTCACCGAGTTGGTTCATCCGTGGCGTCCAGGATAGTACACGTCCCCTCCCCGGAGCTCCCACCCCCGGCGTCCAGGATCGACATGGGCGGAGACGACCAGGCAGGGCAGTGCCCGCTCCCTCTTGCGTTGGTACCTTGGCTGTGTGTCTCCGATGGCATTTCGAATTGGAACAACGACCCGTGGCTGTTATCACCAGACTCTATCCGATGGGGCGGAGTGCCGACAGGAGCTTTTCGCGGCCGCCCCACTCTAGAGAGAGAGAGAGAGAGAGAGAGAGAGAGAGAGAGAGAGAGAGAGAGAGAGAGAGAGAG